GCATCAGATGGCAGAGGCAGTGGCAGGGATCCATTACATTTCATTCAGGTCTAGCAGGGTCTGATCCAGCATTCTTTGCGTGCAGAGATGCTCCTCTTTGGTGGATTTCAGTTTATCTGGTAGGAAGCAAGAGTTACATAGTTACAAGTCAGCCTAAGACAACCAAGAAACCTTCGCCAAAGAAAGCTTGCACTAGCCCGTTCCCAGCACACTGCCATAGCTAGGTTCTGTTTCCGGAACCTGCAGCTAGAAGCTCTGGAGTTACCTGGCTCATCTGTAGCCCTCATCTCTAGTGCTGCCGGTGCTTCCAAGTGGCAATGTCATGATGAACCTTTAGCTAGTGCTCTAGGCAGTATTTTGCATGCAGGTGCCGCAGGCTGCAGCTAGCTTTCTCCAGGGCTTCAACACTTCCAGACAGCAGACCCCAGTGGCCCCACAAGCCACCCAAGAGCAACCCAGAGATAAAATACATGTAGAAGTCACCCTCCCAGGATTACAAATGGTTGTGCCCCCACATTTCCCCTAGCACAGGATAGAGATGCCAAGCTGGTCACCAAGACCATTAACTACCTAGCAGCAGGTAGCAGACAACCATGCCTCAGGAACATTAAGGGAAGAGGCTTTTTCCAGTCAATGGCAAGCAGTGAGCAAGTAGGAGCAAGGGTGCTGCAACTCTGCCCCAGGCTACAGGGAGCTTGCACAGTCAGTTCTCACATGTTCCTTAAGCCAGGAGGAGAGCTCAGACCAGCCACTAGCACTCTAGGTAGGCTTTACTCCAAGGGACAGCCCACCCTCATCTCTGAAGAAATCCACACGCTGGGACACTGGACAGACAGGCTGTGGAAAGATGTCCTTTAGGTACAAGCAGTTTCTCCAAGAGAGCTCCCACCTCCCCCCTCCTGAGGGTCTGACCAGCCACCTCAGGGTTCAGAAATGATGCACTAAGCACAAGAGCGAAAAGCAGCCTTCCTAGGGCACTAGCAACAGCCGCATTTAAAGACTCCCCTGGAGGCACTCAAGAGACAGCTTTATGTCATGTAGTTTGAGACTAACTTTCAGAGTGTCTGTTAGCTTTCCCATCCCATTCTGGAACTCTGCATCTGCAGTGAGGCCAGGCCCTAGGCATGTCCTTTCCCCTCAAATCTAGGTTACAGCTCAACTGTATGAAAATACTACAGGCTTGCAGTGTCTTACAGAACACAAGGTCAGTGATTTATTCTTAGAAGTCATCATTCCATGCAGCAGGAAATCCTACAGTCATTCAGCCAACAGTAAAGTCATAGCACTTGACAATTATCTAACAGACAAACCTAATTCCACCCCACCCCTCGGCTGGGGGGGCACCAGTCTGGTTCCATAGAGCGCCAGGCAGGCCCCACTGTACTAGTGAACAAGACTGCTCAGAGAACAGCCAAGTCCTAGGGTTACTTCACCAAGAATAGAGGTTACCTTTTTGAAAAAAGCTTTTAAATAAAGTATATTAGAGAGGATCAACTTCAACTGCCCCATTAAATAGCAGTAACTGCATAAAATCTGCCAGTCTGCAAATCACTTAAGAGTGATCAGATTTCACTGTGGTCCACAGCACTGGTGGTCGCAATAAGCTTGTTTAATGGCATTAGTGGGCCCCCTTCTCAGTCACACAGATCATGCAGCGTTAACTTCAGCTCGTTAGAGAGCAGGCGATTTTTCTCAAGCTGGCTGTACAGGCGCTCTGCAGCGGCAACAGGAGGATTAGGGGAAACAAGAGGAAAAGAGAAAGAGAGAAAGGGAAGGTTAGTAGAGTACCAAGATGAGCACATCAAATAACCTGTCTCCGTAACACATGCCTCTGATGATCGAGTCTAGGCTATTACACAGATGAAGACAGGGAGAACAAAGGTTTGTCTAACTTGCTTTTTTGCTCAGGAAGATCAGTGGAAGCCAAGTGCAGGCAGAAATGCAAGTGCTGCCAAGGGCTTATGAAGGCAGAGGAAGAGAATAACACCAGAAGAGGAGCCTGCAGGCTGGGCTGCACTGTACCCAGGTAAGGGGAGAGCAGGGACATGCTTTGAAGCCTGTGCAGCGTTTTGCAGAAGGAGGTAGTCCAGATATGGCTGGACCAAAACTGCCTTCCAGGATGAGCCATACCACCAGCAGTAGGACTGACAGGGTTACAGCAATAGGATAGGGACCCAGAGGGCTAAGGACAGCAGAATTGAGAATGACAGCATCTCACACCTGACTTGGAGAACACCAAGACATCACTTCATGCCACAGTAACAATCCACTACTTCAGAAGGCCTGAAGGCAGCATCTACTTTGGATACTGGACAGAGGAAGTTCTGGACCTCAGGTTCCTATTTTACAACTACCACAGAACAACCACATGGGCAGGGCACAGGCTGACACTGCATCCAACATCTGTCGCCCTACACCTGGTAACTGTCCTAACAGAAGCTTTCCTCTCAGGGCACTAGCAGCCCCACTCCTCCCCAGGGCTGGTACTCAAACACATGTGTTTATCAGCAGCCCCAAGGGTTCTCCCAGGACAGGTTACCTCTCAGGGCTGGACAGCCATACTCCTGCCATGTGATCTGTCAGCTACAGCCAGCCAGAACACTGTACAGCACCAGTTTAGCATCCATCTTTTCCCCTCCTTGTGGGAAAAGAGTGTTCTCCTAGCCAGACAACCCCAATTCCTGTGTTTGAGGGAATTCCAAGTGACAGAAAAACCCTAATAGTTCTGCCCAGTTGTAGCAAAACCCACAGCATGCTGCCACTGCTTGACGAGCTAGCATAAAGCCGAGCAACTCACTGGCCTTAGGCTTCTTCTCAAATCCTTTTTGTACTGGGCACCCCAAGCTTCTAGGGAACCCTTTGAAGGGGATCTACACTTCTCCTTGTTGCTTGCAGCCTAGGAATGTTTTACTCTTGAGCAAGACCTGGCTACATGACATCCAGGACACTCAGTCAAGCTGTTCACATGGTACAGGCCACAGCCTGCACCCTCCCCAGAGAGGCCGAGCCCTCCAGCCTGACAGCTGCACAAGGGGAAAGCACACCTTCACCTAGCTGCCCTCAGCACTTGCTCTAGCTCTGCCTCAGCCTGCAGGCCAGAGGGCAGTAATGCTGACTGTCCCTTTTTTAAAGCCACTGAGGGACCAAACAGCAGCAAGAGAAGCAGAGTTGCTGCCCACTACAATCTTAACTGGAAAGCTGAAGGAAATTGTGGTGTGGGGGACAGAAACATCCTATCCTGGCCTACGCCAGTGCCTGCCTTGCATATAGGCTGCTATTGCTGGGAACTCGCTCTGTCTTGCCTACCTAAGCAGGTAGGCTGGGCACCCCGATGTCCATCTCCAGCCCCAGGTGACCAGGGCATCCTGGATCTCTAGGGCAGCACAGGATAGGAATGCACTGCAATTAGCAGAAGCATGAATGACTAGGCTGGTACAACAGCTCATAGCCTTCAACTAAGTGCCCAATGTTACTGCTTGTGGACATGGACCTGATGATTCACCTGCATGAGAGAGTAGATAGACTTAAGTAATGGGCATGACCCTTCCTAGACCTCAGGAATAGCCTCTCAGTTTGAGTGTTTGTTCAGATCTGCTGGGACTGGCTCCAACACTTAGCCTTCTCCCTTCCCCACCCAACCCACAGGGCAGCCTCACAAGTCATGTTTGCATCTCAGGGAGCTCCAAGACCTGTGCCTCCTGGTCACTTTATCTGTGTTTGCAGGGCTCCTGAGTCAACAGCCCAGCTCCTGGTAACCAGCCTATACAAGCCTAGCAATCCAGTCAGACCAGAAGCCTTTCAAAACCTCCCAGGGCAGAAGTTACATCACCCACATGGCCATCTACCATCTACTGTGGAGTTCTATCAAGGCTGGTGTTGAGAGGGCCTGCCAAAGCCCAACCTTTGATAACATCACTTGCAAGACTGCTGTGCAACAGCACAGCAACCTGCTCCACACTGTGCAGGTTAGTAATAAACCCTTGATTGACAAGACCTCCCAATGAGGAGGGAGGCTGTTTCACAAGGGCAGGGAGTGAAGTGCCACATCCCTCCCAGGAAGAGCTGGCAACCAAACACTAGGCTGGAAGCCTCCATTCCCCTTGGTATTTGGGACAGAAGCCCCACCTGCTCACACAGGATCTAGACCCTCTAGTTAAGCTGTAGGTTTCGTACTGGAGAATTACACATTCTTGCTCTTTAGTTACGTGGCACAGAGCTATTTCCTATACCCCAGGAAAGCTAGACCACCACCTGCCAGAGCTTTCTGAACTGTTACCCTTTGAAACCCCTTCCAAGAGGGCTGGGGGGGGGGGGGGAGGACAGGGACAACAACCCTGATACGGAGGCAGAGTGAGAACAGACTGAGGCAGTTCAGTGTGCTTGGAATACACTTATGGCTAGTGTTATTTGTGTGGGAGAACTGAATGCAAACAAACCTGAGGTTCAGGAAACCACTGGGGGTGTCCCATTTCACCAAAACTCGGCTCATGAAGGGCTCTTCGGGCCCTGTGGCAAACAAACCAATCCAGGAAGGAAAAAAGTATTTGACAAGCCACCATGAGGCAGCACATACAGTTATGTCAGGCTGATCAGTCCCTTGGTACCAAAACAACCAGCAACAGACTCAAATCAGCAGTGAAATGTGTCAAGTGTTTGCAGCCTGCCACCAGCTGCAGTGCTCAGTGTAGTGCTCCAAGCCACATTCCCCAGAAGCAACCTTGCACTCCTCAACCCCTGCACAGGGAGCTGGAAGAGTCCACCAGGCTTGTATTCCCTGGCACCAATGCCCTCAGCCCTGCTGTGGGCAATTCTCATTTCAGAAGCAAGGGCCTCACACAGGCAGACTACTGCAGCATCTAGCATTCAGCCAATCCTGTCCAACTAGAATTCAGTAAGAATTTGCTTGATGTTTATTAGCTTTCACATCCTGCCAGTGACCTAGTGACTATTAGGTGTGGTAGCTTCCCACTGCAAGCCAGCATTTGGCAACTGATACCAATGAATGCTACAGAGCAATCAAGTGTGGGGAGTGTCTTTAGCCAGACTGAAGCAGACACAGCTTGAAGACTTTCTGCTACAAACCCAAGCAAGCCATTTGATCCTACAGAGCATGCTGTGCAGAGGCACTGTGTGCAGAGCTGCAATTCACATGTGAGCCAATGAGACACCCAAAGGGTAAAAATTCAGTGCATTAATGAAGTCTATGTATTCCACCATCACCAATAAAGATTACACTGATTTGAAGGCAACATTGAAACAGTTACTCTAAAGCAGCAAATGGTCACTAGAAATCCATTTCTCAACAACACCAGCCGTTCCATTCAATTTATACAAGAGTTGTTTTTCCTTAAAAAAAAAAGTGACATCATGCTCAAGCAAGAGGCAAGAGAAATACAAAAGAAGCTTTATGGCTCTACACAAGATATGCAGATGAGAACACAACATACTCCCAGCTACACCCAGACATTGAAAGGGCAGCCCCTTAGAGCACAGCAGCGTCTGGCACATCAGGTCAAACAGAGGGAGCTTTGTTTAGAAGCAAGTGCAGTATAACTGGGGGGCTGCTACTGCTGTCAAGTTTCAGTGTCTTTACAGCACTCGTTCCCAGGGATGCCCTGCACACAGTAACTGGAAAAAAGGTACTGGAATTCAGAGTGAGATGATGAGAGCATGAATGCAGGGTACAGATGCAGAACAAGCCATCAAGCAGAGAGGCAAATCCAAAGTGGAGTTTGGAATCACAAGATTTATCTGTGTGAAACAGAAGGAGACACTAATTTTAAGAGAGGCTTAAGTGTTTGTGCACAGCAAACTGTTCAGGGAGCTTTCAGATGCTAGTGTTAAGGCTCTTCCTCTATAATGCAAGTACCTGGCCTTTCCTTGGTTAGTAGTAAAGAATGTGCAGAGCAGCTGTTAGCAGAACCCACAGCAAACCTGAACAAAAAGCTAAGTAGCGAAGTTGCAGAAACACACAAGTTCAGCTACTTCCACAGATCACTTTATGATCCACTCCATCTCAAGCCTGTTATGGCGATTCCTGAGGAATCCACTTGAGCACTATCCACAGCCTCTTCCAAGAGGAATCCTGAGACCATGGCCTAATGCTCTAGCAGGCAACTAAGCAGCATTATCTTAGGACACCTTTTCCAGTGGGACTGGGAATTGCATTCCTTGGCACAGATCAGCGAGTTCAAGTCAGAACTCTAAGGCCAGCACAGCACTCAGTTACACATGCAGATCACAAGGACCTAGAGTTAGAATACAGCATGCTGCAAGGAAGCCTCTGCAATCCTACAGGCAGAGATCTGTAGAAGTAACCTAGACAGTGCCATTGATTTACTGGCTATGGAAATCACAGCAAACCAAGCAAGCTCTGGCTGTCTAGCCTGCTGAAGCAAGAGGCAAACACCAGCCAGCTCATATTTACATGGAAGTCATGTCATTCAGGGCGTGGTCCAGTTCCTCACTAATTGCTTTGTACTTCAGTTTCTGGGCATAGAGCTCATCTAGAAGAGGTTCAGGAGGAGAACAAAAGGGAAACAATGAGGGAAGGCAGAGTTCTTCCAACACCCTGGGGCAGGAAAAGCAGTATGGGATTCATGAACAGAAGAAAATGAAGTCAGTTGTGGAGACATCACAACTCTGTATTAGTTCCCAAGCAATGAATGAGAGTGTTCTGACAGCTTGAGGACAGGCTGACCAGCAAGTGCCTTCCAGATTACAAGCTAGCTCTAAGGTGAACAAAGCCAAGAACTTGAACCACATTAGCTTGTAAGAACACGCTGCAGATGGAGTACCAGGAAGAGGCAACTCCACTTCTTAGGGAGAGGATCTGATTGCTAAACCAAAGGAAGGCACAGATCAATTGAGTGCTTTGTTCTCACCTTCAGTTTCAATACGAAAAACTTGTTTGGGAGAAGTTGGTTAAGTAATAGTCCTGGGCATCAGAGGGAATTCCCATTACGTACATACACAGCTAGGCAGGATAAGCTGAACAGACAAGCCACACCTGTGTTCTCCACCAGATAATGTTGCTGACTGGCAGATCACCTGCCTTCAGTGGAGGAGGCAGTCTTGAAACTTGTACTGATGCACTCCTTTAAGACAGTGTAGGGCTGGCAGAGACGTCTCCCAGCACTGGCTCCCGAGACTACAGTACAGCTGTTAATGCTGTTAACTGTTTCACAGAACCCAGAGAACTTTGACAGCTGTCAAACTAGGTCACTTCAGCAGCAAGAATACAAACTGGAGCCAACTCTCCCCATCAGCATTTCAAGGGTAGCATGCATGGACTTGGAGGAGTTTTTGCCGTTCCCAATAAAGGCTTGCCCTGGATCATGAATTGGCTCAGATTGCTGCTTGGCTGCAGTTCTGGAACAGCTCAGCTGACACCATTGCTATTTCTAGATAAAACTCCTGAGCTACTCCAGACAGAAGGACACAGCTTTGAATCTCCAAGACCTGGCACTAAAAGACCACTAGGGTACATGCTGTGGTCAAGGCAAGGGTCCGCTAAAATTTTTGGCTTGCCAGCACCAGCACACCATCCACAGCTGTCTACAGCAGACTCAGCCACAGCCCCAGATCTAAAACAGGTAGCTGGAACCTTCTCTTCCCATCCTTTGGGGAGGGATACAATTTTGTGAAGTCAGGCATCAGGAGCGTTTAAGTACTGCAAAACCAGGAACAGAAGGAAGAAAGAAACATATCCTTGGCAAAAGCAGACCATCATACTGCATGGATGGGGCTTCAGGTGATTTAATCTTGAATTAGGACTGATGCTGGGCAGTCCAAACATTCATGGGGGCTGGCTCATGACTCACCAACTACTGTCTGGAGCTGACTTGCAAGAAAGCTGGTCTGCAGCAGTCATGTGCATGCAATTCTGCACAGAAATGTGTTATTGTAGCCAGTTCCTGTTGAGTTCAGGTGGCTTTTCCTACCCCACTCCTTAACTCGGGTTAAACTGGAGCATTAGTAACTTACGTTCCTGCCAAGATTTACCATCCATGCTGTCTGTTACTATGAGTCAGATATGGAAAGATGTTCAGATCAAGAACTGTTTCTTGGCTGCGCTGTGGCAGGCCGCATTTTAAGAGTGGGTACACCAGGCACAGCTCTTGAGCCCAGAGGCTTCAACCTCACCTTGCAGGCTGAGTTGGGCCATGCTCCAAGTGCAGAGCAGTGTCTCCACTCTCCAGCTATCTGGGAGACAGCCTTCCTCAGCTCCCCACTCCTCACCACATGTTCTTTGGCTTCCCCATCCCAGAATGTACCTTCCAAATCATCAATGGTCTTCTCCAGCTTGGCTACAGATCGTTCAGCAAATTCAGCACGAGTCTCCGCCTGCCAGACAGGAGTGAATCAGTCAGTGCAACAGCTTTCACGTGCAGCAAAGAACTAAAAAAAGCATCAGCCTGAGGATACAGCATCTCCTATCCTCCATGTCTCTCCCCAATGAAATCGAGGACTGAATCCCCAAGGGGCCAAGCCCACATGACCAGGTGGCTATCCTGACATGGTCACTCACCTCTTTGAGTTTATCAGTCAGGATCTTGATCTCTTCTTCATATTTATCCTCTTTTTGGGAGTACTGTGGAAGAGGAGAGAGAAAGTCAGCAAACAGCAGCCCTCAGCAACCCCAGGTATCTCCCACTCCAGAGATCTTGCAGCTTACAAGGGGAGACAAATGTCTCACTGCATATAAATGGCCAAAGGGACTTTGAGCTGATGGTTGTTCACACCCATACCCTAGTCCAACAGGACTGGGTCAGGCAGCAAGTCCCACATCATGCACGCAACATATGAAGTTGGGCACAGATTCACATCCGAGCAACATGAACATCTTGGCTGCTCGAGTCTGCCTCAAGGCAGGGAAGGGCAGGCTTCCTGCACTCCCAGCTTCTAGAAGTCAACATAAACTCTGCACTGAAATCCGTTAGTTCTCCTGGGAGAGCAAGCACTGCTCTCTGTGCTTGCTCAAGGCTGCAGCTGCATCACTTCCATCCCAGTGGGTGCTCTGCAGTCATATACTCTTCTAGTAAAAGAGAAAGGTTTCTGGCCCTTTGAAAAGCAGCCCTACCTTCTCAGCCTGAGCCTCAAGAGACTTGAGATTGTTGGTGACATTCTTCAGCTCCTCCTCCAGCTCGGAACATTTACTGTTGATTTTTGTAAAGAAAGGGAGCAAAAGAAGAAAAGTGGGAGGGAAAGACAGGAGAGATGAAGTGAATCCATGTGCAGGAAAGACCAAAGAGCTTTTTAGGAGACAATCTATGATCAGACTGGATGAGCCCTTGCTTCAAAGGCACTTCTGCAGGAAGCAAGTTCCCTCCCGGCCTCCAGGTTCACACTTTAAATAATCTGCTGGCATTGGCACAAGGCACTGAACTGAGCAGCTGAGATATGGACACAGATTTGTGCTGGACCTAGAGTCTTCAAGTAGAAGTTGCACGTTTAATTTGCTGTAAGGAGGGGAAGTTGCTCTGATGTCTGAATGGGTGGCAGCTGCCCAGCTAGCCAAGAATATTTATGGTCAGAGAGGACAGAGCATTCCAGGAGGGAGAGAGAGAAAGAGATGCAATAAGCTGAAGGAAGGAGTGTAACAAGACGACCTCAAGAGCTTTGGTTTAATGGTTTGAGAAGGGAAAGGTTAGTACCTTTTCTTCGGCAACAGATAGACACTTCAAGTTCTGGTCCATCACTCTGATCTGCTCCTGCAGCTCCCGGCAACGACTGTTAGTGACGGTCACATGATGGCACAAGCCAGGTGGGACAAGGGTCAAAAGGGCCACAAATAACACAATAAAGCAGAGCAAAAAAGGAGGGAGGGGAAAAACAAAAATGTCATGGTCATGACATGCATGTCGGGCAAGAAGCATAGCGCCACTGCTGCATATACACTAACTTTGTTAGACAAGGCCCAGAAGACTGAGGAAGGCCCTGACCAACTCCTTAAGGATCAGTTAAAGCACCCAGACAAGTGAAAGGAGCCCAGACAATGCAATTTGTGTCTCTGCTCTGAGCAGAGGAAGTTTAGCTTGCTGCTCAGCAATGCAGTGCAAGTCTCTAGTGGTTATTGCAGTTTCTTTATTAAAAAAAAAAAAGGCCAGGGAGACCAGCCTCAGCTACAGAGCCGCCTCTGGACATTCCACATGCTGTTTCAACCCCCTGCTCAGGAAGCCTTCGCAGTTTTAGGACAAGTACTGTGCACTCAGGTGTGTCACAGCAACGTGGAAGGAGCTAGTGACCATACAAAGCAGTGCTGGTGAATAGTGAATGGAGAAGGATCCTTTGGCCCTTACTGCCCAAGAAGTCACTCCATGCAAAGAGGCAGACGTCTCCACTACAAGACAAACAATGTCAACTTTGATGCACGCATCTACGTTCTCAGTGGACCAAATCCTGTTCAGCGGAAATTTCCAACTCTTTCATCTGAAGATCTAAACCACCCCATATTTTGGGCCTTATGTAACAAGGTTAGAAATGCTCTGTTAGTGTTAGTTTCCATGCAAAGGTAGACATGCAAGTTGTATGCGAGCAGATATACTCACGACTCCGCAAGTTCAGCTCTCTCTTCAGTACGCTCCAGATCTCCTTCTATGATCACCAGTTTCCGAGCAACCTGGAAGGGAGAGTCAGAGTTAACAGGAAGGTATTTTGTACTCACAGGCTGTGCAAGGTAGTAACGGAAGCGTTTGCTGGAGTTGCCAGAGTCTCTTGGCAAGACATAATACTGGTGTAGCTCTGCTGAGAGCTAGGTTCTCTCTCCAAGTTCGCTGAGGAAAGCACTGTCTACAGGAAGAGGAGCCACCTCTCCTGGCCAAGGCCAGCTGTATTAGAGCATCCAAGAGCCTCACCTCCTCATACTTCCTGTCTGCCTCCTCAGCAATGTGCTTGGCTTCCTTGAGCTGGATCTCCTGTAGTTCCATCTTCTCCTCATCCTTCAGAGCTCTGTTTTCAATAACTTTCATGCCTCTCTGCATGCCCCCCCCAAAAAAAAAAAAGGGCAGTGAGGGGAGATGTATAAACCAATCCTGTACAAGCCAGCAAGAGTATAATGCATTTCAGAGCATTCACAGCACTCCCACTGGAGCAATGTTGCTTCCCTATGAGCTGTAAGACCTCTGAGCACAGAGGATAGCACAGCAAGACAGGCACTGCTGGGCTGATGCAAACAGAGCAACCTCAATTGCTCAGAATTAACCTGCCCTGGAGCATTATTCCAGCAGCTCACTGGACTCCTTGACCAAGGAAAACAGGGTGCTGCTGAGAAGGACAAGTGAGGCTCTCTTAGGGAACGCTATACAGTTGAGCTGAGCACCTTCCAGACTGAAATGTGAGAAGAGCCAAGTCTGTCATTATGGCAGGAACATCAGCTGGGTCAGGCTGCTCACTACAGCATATGCATTGATGAAACACATCAGCCAACTGGAAGCGCTTTGATGGGACAACTCCCCTCTGAATTACACTCCCAGGTTAGCAAGAGACATCTGCCAGAATGGAATACTCTGGCAGAAGCAGCAGGAAGAAAAGCTTCCCCCATTCCCAGCAGTCATCTTTACCCAATAAATGGCTTCCCAGAACCTCCTCCTTTCTCTTCCCTCAGAGAGGTAGAGGCAGGGCAGCCCACAGCACTTGCTTGCTACTTAGCCTCAGGTTCTAAGAATACTCACTTCAGGCCACAGCATTGTCTTAGAGGCTCTGCATAAGCAGCTCTTGACTCCCACATCCAGCCTTGATGTGGCATTTACTTCCCACCCTCCAGGAAGCCCAAGAGGTTGATGGCACAGGGCCCTCGGTCAGGAACACGTTTGGCTGTTGGTTTACCAAGTGAGCGCTGCAAACCCTGCTCACCTTTCACTTTCATCTGCAGCCTTCTCCGCCTCTTCCAGCTTCTGCAGAGCTGTGGCAAGACGCTCCTGGGCTCGATCCAACTCCTCTTCTACCAGCTGGATGCGGCGATTCAAAGATGCCACTTCTGCCTCAGCCTAGAGGGAGCAGATCAGAGTGACTCAGTCCGTAGCCGGGTTAGCAGCTAGTGCAGGGCAGCCAAGGTCTGTCTTTAGGTCAGTGGCAGCACACTGGAAGCCAAATCAAATACAGCATGCTTTATCCACTTCCTTACACCGAGACAGCACTCCCCATATGCTTGTGCGTTAAGCCTTGCAAGATTTAACATACAGCTTAGCAAGTATGGCAGTCATCCTGCAGGTTTCTCACATGTCAGCTTGAGCTGCCTTGTGAGTTTAGCATAAGTCATCTACTTAGTGTTTATGGCTTGATGTGTCTTCCTCTGCAGCTGCTGTCACCCTGCCAGGCCATCAATCATAGTCCTATTTATCCACCACACCAGAGCTCCATGGCAGCCTACTACTTAGCATAAAGTCAGTTTGTGCATGTGATCTAGACATGAGTGTTGCTTGAAACAAGTTCTCTTAGCAGCAAAGCGAGAAAGATTAATAGCTCCAGGTTCAGAGGTCTGCCAAGCTGCGTCACAGCACTGGCAGATCAGGCTTTCTGCAGAGCTGCCCCAGACCCGGGCAGCAATGTGGTTCAGCCGATAGCTTTAGTGTCCAGAATTCCAGTGACTCAAGCCACGAATAGCCAACTGTGCTCCAGGTTTCCTTCCTCCTAGTAATTTACTCTCTCTGGGCTATTAGTGAAAGTCTGATCCAGTCTTGAGATGAGCTAGGGAGGCTGTTCCCCAGCAATAGTCACTTGGGGACAGCCACATCATTTCAGCCTTATTAGCCAGGAGTCAGTGAAACTGCCGAGAGCCTGGGGGCCCTATGTTTGCTGCAAGGCAGTACCCAGAAACACAGCCACAGGAATGACTGAGGCTTTAGTGAAATCAGCAGAGATCAAAAGCTATCACGCACACCCAATCAGGCCTGTTACTTTGCACTGCTCACAGCAGCAGCACTATCAGTATCAGCCACAAAGCATCTGCTTCCAGCTCAGTCTGTCATCCACCCTTGACCAGAACTGGAGGGAAGCCTGGAAGCTTTGGGGACACTAAAGCCTCATCAGAGCCATCCCTGAGGAACATAGCATCCTGTTCTCCAGCAGCATTTCTAAGCTATTACAGAGATACCATGGGACCACAGCCATTTCAGGACAGCATTGTGATCTATTACAGAGACACTAGTGCACAGGCACATGCCAGGCATATATGAAATATCCCAGCTACTTGCAACAAAGCAGCCTGCAAAGACATGCTGCTTCTAAGCAAGCCGGCTGATGCCCAAGGAAGGAGGAACAGAGCAATGAAAGAGGCCAGTGTTAGAATAGGGTTTAAACACAAATCATGTTCAGTTCCTGGGGGGCAGCTGTGCAAGCTCTTCCCTCCCAGGCCAGCCCATGAATACCACTGCATGGTGCCCTGGCAGGCAGCAAGGTGATCAGCACCTCCCAACAGCAGGTTTCAAAAGGCAGGTTGTGAGAATGGAACTTGCTTTAAAAGGAGCTCCCATGCCAGCACACCCTGCTCTTCACCATGGAAACCTGCAGCACTCTGATGCTCAAACAAGCCAGCACTACAGCATGCAGTCACAGACCCAGCCCTGCTAGAGCAGCCAGCACATTCCTCCAGAGGAGGAAGTGGTCTGCTAGAAGAGGAACAAAATGATATGCTAAACAGAACTGGAAAGGAGACTGTTTGACACACACTCATATAGCCTATTAAAGAGGCAAGAAGCTGCTTCCCCCCCCCCCAAGGGGTAGGGGCACACCAGGCCTGTTTCCTGACCTCTAGAACCTCATCGCTTCACCCTGACTTCCTGTAGTCAGAGCTTGACCCACCCAAGAAAACTCCCCTGCTGTTAAGGAACTGCCTCCATCCTTGTTAAGGATGGGTCTGCAGAAGGACCCTTATCCTTCATTTCTGCTTTTCTTCACTGGATACAGCTGAAGCTGGCAGGCTTCCCCCAAACACTGGGGTGACACTTCCAAGCAGCCCCACTGCTGAACATCCCCGTTACTCCACACTTCCTGCAGACTCGGGGAGACAGCCCTGAGTCAGAGAGCTACAAAGAGCCCTGCAAACCATGGGCAGAACTTTCCATGGCATTCACAGTTCCACATCACTTCCCCAGGCCACGGGGATCTGCTAAGAAGGAAATTCCTCAGGACCCAGCAGCACACAAGGGCCAAGCCACAGATTCTAGGGTGAGCAGAAGATGCTACGACACTGCAAGTACAAATTCTCTCTCCATGTAACAGGGCTCCAGCAAGCTGGTGTGGAAGCAGTGTTGTCATGGGAACATGCATGCTATTGCAAGAGAATTCCTTATGTGGCTGCAAATAAAGAGCAGAAGTAAGGTTTGGGAGTGGCCTCATTTTACTGCACAGTAGAATCTTCTACTGTCAGACTCAATAGCAAAGCCAGATCTGTCCCAGGAACCCCACACAGAAGCAGTGACACGCTGCTCCTTATGGACTCCACCCACATCACACATTTAGACTTCAGCATGCTGGCTTTAAAAGCCTCAGCCTTGCAATTTGAGCTGCAACTAGCAGTACAATTACTGCAATTAGCAGTAAAGTCACTATGCAAATTTACAACGAGTCTCACTCAGATCTGAGCAATCCAAGATCTGTCCACCCCTCAAATCTTCCCTGCAAAGAGCACGAGCATCTGCCTGCCTCACTGGCCTGCTGTTCATGAGCTGCCTCAGTCTCTTGGTCTGAAGGAGCTGCAAGAGCAGGGTGCTTGCCAGTTTAGATTTTGATGTGGTTGCTCCTTCCTTCCCTTCGAGCAATTCCAGCCCAGTCACTGTCTGCTGCCCTTCCCCCATGCTTTCATAACAAGGGCACTAGTATTCGAGGCATTCTTGCACTGAACAGTGGAGATCCCCACTCATTAGCCAGTATTTTAGCAGGATACAGAGTCTAGGAGTTTTCCACTGAGCTCCTGCGCTGGCAGCATCACAAGTGAGATCACTTCCATTTTATCAGCACATGCCAAGGCAACTTACACCTTTGTGCTTGCAACATTGGGCCAGACAAGATGGCCAGGTTCCTCCCCTTCCTCTTGAACAGCTCAGAGTGAGCAAGCAGCCAGGAAATCTGACCAGAGACCAAGAGCCCTTTTCAGCTCCTCCCCAACACCCTCAGGTCACTGCACAAGCAAGTTTCAGTTCAAAGCTGGCTTGCAAGACAAGTAACAAAGAAAGAAACCCACCAGGTCTTCCCAATTTCTGATGCTTTTCAGAAAGCGAGCTGCTCCTCAGCATCTGCAGAGCTGGAGGCAGCTGTTTTGCCCAGGCTATGCCATGGCTCAGAAGCAGACTTGCAAGATGTTACTATCCCTGAGCCCATTTCAGGGAAAACAGTAAGTGAAACCCAAAGTCGTTCCACAGCAGCAAACAGACAGCAGCTTTTGTACTCTTGCAAACACCGTGGCCTAGCTGTCAGCCTCCTCTTCCAACTGTACTAACACCAGGTTTCAGATTCAGGAAACCTCAGCAAGAACAAGCAAGCTGTCCTGCCAGGTAAGTCACCATACAGAAGCTGACTTTGCCACTAGCTCAGAGGGGCTAAACCTTGCCTAAGCAACAGACACCATTTCAAGTAGCTCATCTTCTAGATAGCTGCCTGCTGAGGTAATGCTGGTATTTACAAAAAGCCAGGCTAAGTTTATACAGATGTTCCAACAGGCCCAGATTTCAAAGTGCTGCTGCCCAGACTTGGCTTTCCTGAATGGTTATGCCACACATCTGACCACTAGCAGCTAGCTGCTCCTCCTGCCCAAAGGGGCTTCCTTAACTCCTACGGAGCCCAACTCATCCGAGCAAGCTAAACAGACCCCAACACAAGGGGCAAGAAGTCAACACTCCAGGTAAGACCGCTGGGACAGCAGGGTGCATCCAACACAGCAACGCTGTAGATGCAGACAAGCGTTCAGCAAGACAGGAGCTCGGTACAACAGGCAGGAAACCAGGCACTGGGCTACCTCCACACACCTACACAGGCAGCTGGGGACACAAAGCCTCAGCAGCGGGCAGCTCCTGGGGAAGGAAAACTAAACCTTCTGAATTTGAAGACCTTTTGAACAGAACACGATGCCTGTTTTGACCCCAGCCAGGGGATCAGCAGCCCTGCTGCCAAGACAGGAGCTCGGTACAACAGGCAGGAAACCAGGCACTGGGCTACCTCCACACACCTACACAGGCAGCTGGGGACACAAAGCCTCAGCAGCGGGCAGCTCCTGGGGAAGGAAAACTAAACCTTCTGAATTTGAAGACCTTTTGAACAGAACACGATGCCTGTTTTGACCCCAGCCAGGGGATCAGCAGCCCTGCTGCCTCAGCAGACCCGTAAACTAGCACGTAGACCTGTAGCCTACAGAGCCCTGCCGCCGTCTTCAGACAAGCGGGCGAACCTCTACTAGGCAGCGACCCCAGGAACAACACTGCGACCCGGGAACCGGGCACGGGAGCCACACGG